ACCTATCATGCCACTGGATACCAACTGGCCTTTGTTAACCGTATCCAAAGGGTTCTTTGAAGGCACCATTGCCAGCAAAGGTAACTACCTACTTCTCCCGTAGCACTTCTGTTGTTTGTTTTGTGGAGAATACCATCAGCATTTAGTTTCATCTCTCCTTTTTTTCTGCATGAAGCCTAATGGAGCATTGAAATGCCAGTTATGGTACAGTCTTAAAAACTTAAAATTGCATTTCAAGGTCATTAAAGAAAATTTGGAAAATATGGAGAAAAAACAGGATGCCTCTAGTACCACCAGTAACTTTGGTTAATATTTTGGTGTATTTTTAGGTTTTACTATATATGTAGTCATGTTCTTTGTTCAGGGTTTTACCATTCATGACCATACGATCTTAAGGTACTAACTCAGCTACGTGGAATTCCAGTATGTGGGTATAGGCAGATGTGTGCTACCACCCTCCACCACTTCCACCCTTAACCTCCTCCTGTTTTCTTGGTCTGTTAGTTGATTTCACCTAAGTTAGAGCCTAAACAGACTCTTGAGCATTTTGTGCTGAACCCCACCCTTTCCACCACCTCCTCTAGCTACCCTATGCATGATGCCCTGTACATACTGTAGTGGTGGTAGCTTAGTAAAGCTCTCAGGAAGAAACTCAAGAGTTGTGAGCCAAAGACTGCTAAGTACAAATTATTTAAGAGCCAGTTTTTGGGAGCAGGAAGGCCAGTTCCTTCCATCTGTCTTCTGCCCTCTGTGAAACCTACTGCAAGTCAGTATAACATATATACCACAAAAATAAATAATACACAAACAATAAGTAGGCGGAAGCTTGACACCTGTTTTTGAAAGGATTTAACCTGCCTGCAGAAAAGGCCCTGTCTCCGACTTGCTGGACTGTAACCAGTTCTGTTCTGTTCCTTCCCTCTGTAGGGAAGGGAGGAGCACTGGCTGCTGACATTGACATTGACACTGTTGGTACAGAGGGCTGGGGAGAAGATGCAGAGCTGCAGTTGGATGAAGGTAAAAGTGCTGTTTTAAGACTGTTCTGGGGCGATGGACACCTTGGATTGGGACTGGGTTGTGGGTAGCCCTGCAGACTTCCAAGCCATGAAACCAACTAGGACTGATTTTACTTCCTTTGGCTAAGCTTATGCCACAGCCCAAATCTGTTTTGAGCCTGAATTTTCCTTACAGATGGGTTTGTGGAGGCTACAGAAGGTTTGGGGGATGATGCTCTTGGCAAGGGACAAGAAGAAGGAGGTGGCTGGGATGTAGAAGAAGATTTGGAGCTCCCTCCTGAGCTGGTATGTGGAATTTGTACCTTTAGAAGGTTCTCTCCATATCTCCCTATGGAAGCCAAAGGCCTTATTTGTCTCCCACCGCTATCCTGAGGTCTCCAGAAGCGAAGAGGACTAGACGCTCCTAATCTGATGCTTATCTCCCATTTGAAAGAAGGAAGATGGCTGGGCACTCTGGCTCATGCATGTAATCCAGCACTTTGGGAGGCTAAGGCAGGGTGATTGCTTGAGCTCAGGACTTCAAGACCAGCTTGGGCAACATAGCAAGACCCTGTCTCTATTTTAAAAAAAATGGAAGAAGAAGGAAGAATGAGAGAGTCAAAGTTAGTGGCCTGTCATTTCCATCTGTCCTGTATGCTCAAAAAGAGGGGATGTAGAACTTACCTCGAATCTGATGCTTAGCTCCTATTTGAAAGAAAGAAGAATGAGGTAATCAGGGTTGTGGCAGCAGCAGCTTAGGAAAAGGCAGCAAGCTGTTTTATCTGAATTGGAGTTTTCAATATGTCATTTTGTCACTGGTGAGGAGCTCCTATTTTGGCAGCCTTCTCCCACAACTATCACCCTTCCTCACTGGAGGCAGGGAACAAGGTAAATGGTTGTGTTCTAGATTCAACAGAATAAGTGCTTGAATGGCTTAAAATGTTAATTTGCCCAGGCACGGTAGCTCACACCTGTAATCCTAGCACTTTGGGAGGTCGAGCCTGGCAGATCGCTTGAGCTTGGGACTTGGAGACCAGCTTGGGTAACACAGCAAAACCCCATCTCTACAAAAAAATACAAAAATTAGCTGGGTGTGGTGATTCATGCCTGTGGTTCCAGCTACTCGCAAGGCTGAGGTTGGGGGATTGTTTGAGCATGGGAGTCAGAGGTTGTAGTGTGCCAAGTTCATGCCTCTGCACTCCAGCCTAGGTGACAGAGTGTGACCGTGTTTCTAAAAAAAAAAATTTACCCAATTTTTGTTCTTCCCCTAGGATATATCCCCTGGGGCAGCTGGTGGGGCTGAAGATGGTTTCTTTGTGCCCCCAACCAAGGGAACAAGTCCAACTCAGGTAAGCAGGAAGAAACCCTGCAGGGATGAATGACTAATACTTGATTAGTGTATAACAGGTGTTGGCTACTTTTCTGCTGTAGTTATGGAGGAGAATAGAAAAGGGATAAAGTTTTACTTGGCTTGGGTTTTTTATTTCTCTTTAGATCTGGTGTAATAACTCTCAGCTTCCAGTTGATCACATCCTGGCAGGCTCTTTTGAAACAGCCATGCGGGTAAGTAACCTTAGCTTTTCCTCTTGAGTGTGCGTAGCCCAGGGTCCCAGGGAAATGGCTGACTCATTTTAACCAAGTGAAATAATCCTACCCATGAGGGAAGAGGTGTGTATTTATCATGAAAGCTCTTGGTCTTGTTTAAGTACACTTGCCTTCCTGTTTCCTGCCTTCCACTTGGCCTAGTAATCTCTTAGGGCAGATCCTTCAGTCGTCTTCGCCCATTTAGAGCTTACTTTCTGGCTCACAGCAGTGAGATAAGTACCCCCTCCCGAGCAGGGGTCAGTTTAGAACACTAAGCTAGTATTGTTATAATAACAACAATAATGATAACACTGCAATAACTGCTAATGTTTATTTAATGTTCACTGTGTGCTAGGCACTATCCTAAGTAATAGGTATTATTAAATGAAGTATGTCTTACAATTAAATGTATTTTACTGGTGAGAAAACTTGAACAGAGAAGTTAATTACCTTGCCCAAGGAAAAGTAAGTCGGTTTTTTTTTTTTCCCCCAAAAGAGATTAGCATCTGAGAAAAGTAGGGTTTTATGCAGCAGAGCCAAAATGCTTGTTTCTTTCCTTCTTTTCTAGCTTCTTCATGACCAAGTAGGGGTAATCCAGTTTGGCCCCTACAAGCAACTGTTCCTACAGACATATGCCCGAGGCCGTACAACCTATCAGGCTCTGCCCTGCCTACCCTCCATGTATGGCTATCCTAATCGCAACTGGTAAGGCCCCTTGCTCTTTGCTTTCATCCGTTCCAAGTTGTGGTCGTTATTTCAGATGGTTGCCTCAGTGACACAGTCAGAATTCTCTCAGAGTTAGGGTTTCCCAGTAGAAAAAGATCTTTGGGCTGAGTGTGGTGGCTCACACCTGTAATTCCAGCAGTTTGGGAGGCCGAGGCAGGCAGATCAGCTGAGGTTGGGAGTTCGAGACCAGTCTGTCCAACATGGAGAAACCCCGTCTCTACTAAAAATTTTAAAAAAATAAAAATTAGCGAGGTGTGGTGGCATGTGCCTGTAATCCCAGCTACTCGGGAGGCTGAGGCAGGAGAATCACTTGAACCCGGGAGGCGGAGGTTGTGATGAGCCAAGATTGTGCCACTGCACTCCAGCCTGGGCAACAAGAGCAAAACTCTGTCTCAAAAAAAAGAAGAAGTCTGTTACTCTATGGGGCTTGGTTTACACCTGCTGTCATCCTCTTCCCCAGCTACTTTGACAGAAGACAGAGGGTAGCTGAAAGGATGTTTGCCAGAAAAGGAAGTTGGGTCCTAGGTGGCTACTGACTGTCCTGTCTTCTTCCTACTTTTCCCTTTCCAGGAAGGATGCAGGGCTGAAGAATGGTGTACCAGCTGTGGGCCTGAAGCTTAATGACCTCATCCAACGGTTGCAGCTGTGCTACCAGCTCACCACAGTGGGCAAATTTGAGGAGGCTGTGGAAAAATTCCGTTCCATCCTTCTCAGTGTGCCACTTCTTGTTGTGGACAATAAACAAGAGATTGCAGAGGTAGGAGGGTCTAGCCGCTGTCCCAGTCCTGGGTACTCCCACATTCTTGTCTCTGTATCTTGACCTTCTGCCCCCTCTACAGGCCCAGCAGCTCATCACCATTTGCCGGGAGTACATTGTGGGTTTGTCCATGGAGATAGAAAGGAAGAAGCTGCCCAAAGAGACTCTAGAACAGCAGAAGCGCATCTGTGAGGTAAGATTTATAGGACTCGGGCCGGGCGTGGTGGCTCACGCCTATAAATAATCCCAGCACTTTGGGAAGTCAAGGTGGGTGGATCATGAGGTCAAGAGATTGAGACCATCCTGGTCAACGTGGTGAAACCCCATCTCTACCAAAAATACAAAAATTAGCTGGGCATGGTGGCACGCACCTATAGTCCCAGCTACTCAGGAGGCTGAGGCAGGAGAATTGCGTGAACCCAGGAGGCGGAGGTTGCGGTTGCGGTGAGCCGAGATTGCACCATTGTACTCCAGCCTGGGTAACAAGTGAAACTCTGTCTCAAAATAAAAAAAAAAGATTTATAGGACTCTGAGCACAACAGAGACATCCGTCCTTTTACCTTTCATTAGGTTTGAATTCTTTAATTGCAAATCCAGATCTGACTGGGGAGGAGAAATTTGGGCCCTAAATTTCTATGAGGGGAGGATACATTTCTTCACCCTACTTCGTCATCTCACCAGTCCTCCATACCTAGGAGGTAGAAGACCTCTCTGCTTTATAGCCCATCCTGTGTTGTGTTTTTTATGCATGTGTCACAGCTTAGAAATGACCTCTACCAGGTGTAGCATCAGCCTGGCATGTGTTCCTCTTTCTGTCCACCAGATGGCAGCCTATTTCACCCACTCAAACCTGCAGCCTGTGCACATGATCCTCGTGCTGCGTACAGCCCTCAACCTCTTCTTCAAGCTCAAGAACTTCAAGACAGCTGCCACCTTTGCTCGGCGCCTGCTGGAACTCGGGCCCAAGCCTGAGGTGGCACAGCAGGTAGATGGAACCCCTTCAGTGACCATAGGGAAGCCAGATCAGCTCTTACATGGAGGGAGCAGACCAAGGTCCTTGCCTCTGAAACAAAGCAGTAAATAACAACATTCAACAAAAAGAGCAACAGAATGCTACCCTCTGGTTACTTCCTGACCTGGTGCTCCCTTTGTTCCTGGAAAATTAATTAATAGTTTATTATTGAGACATGGCTCTCATGTAAGAGTGCCCTACAACCTAGAACAGCCCCAGTGTAGCTGAAAGTAACCCCCAGCCCTGTCATTAAGCTCCAGATAACCCATCACAACCACCACAAGCCTTCACATACACATCCTATTACTTGTGTGCTCCAGATGTATTATTTTTGGGTGATGGAAGTCTGTTTTAACCCTTTCTAGGACCTGACTCCGATAATCTCCAGAGTTGATGAAGGAATGTGGGTCTAGATTATGGAGCCACTTTTGTATTGAGAAGGGGAAAGTTCAATACAATAGGAATAGTGATTTTTAACCCTTCACATACATCCAGTACAGAGCTTGGGACCTCTTGTTGTATCTGTACTAGGTGAAAAGTACATCAGTGGAACTAACAAACCGTGGTGATGGGATCCCTTGACATGTTTGTCTGGAGCTTTCTGTCCTTCTAAATAAAATACTTCCTCCCCCTAGACCCGAAAAATTCTGTCTGCCTGTGAGAAGAATCCTACAGATGCCTACCAGCTCAATTATGACATGCACAACCCCTTTGACATCTGTGCTGCATCGTATCGGCCCATCTACCGTGGAAAGCCAGTGGAGAAGTGTCCACTCAGTGGGGCCTGCTATTCCCCTGAGTTCAAAGGTCAGATCTGCAGGGTCACCACAGTAAGTACCATCCTCAAATGTATCTAGGATATTGAGGGAAGGGGAAAGAGAAAGAAACATGCTGGTCCTTTTTTTCCTCTTGTGTTTGTCCCCAGCTCCCTGAGGCAGTGACACTGGAGAAAGCTAGAGCTTCTCTCACTGCTCTTCGCCAATCAGTGACAAATACTCCAATACCTGTCTACTATGCTCATTGAGGGGTATGGGGAATAAGTTTTCTAAGGATTCTCAATCTTACAATTTCTAACTTGTTTCTCGGTTTGCTCTTCTACAGGTGACAGAGATTGGCAAAGATGTGATTGGTTTAAGAATCAGTCCTCTACAGTTTCGCTAAGGCCCCCTTTCTGTGCATGGATCAGTCACCATATGTTACCCCTAGAGAATGTCTCTATATCCTCCTTCTAATAGCCCCCTCCCACTGCAGCTACTCTTCGGATTTGGGTCTCTCTACCCTAAAACCTAGTATCCTTTACTCCTTTTCTATGGAAAATCTAAATGTCTAAACTTGATTTTTTGAGGTCTTCTCAACTTGACTACAGTTGTGCCCACAATTGGCCTTGCCTTTCCAACTTAAATCTTTCAAGGAACAAATGAAAACTCCGGGCTGGGTGCAGTGACTCATGCCTATAATCCTAGCACTTTGGGAGACTGAGGCAGGCAGATCATCTGAGGCCTGGCCAACATGGTGAAACCCTGTCTCTAATAAAAATACAAAAATTAGCCTGACTTGGTGGTGTGTACCTGTAGTCCCAGCTCCTTGGGAGGCTGAGGCATGAGAATCACTTGAACCTAGGAGGTGGAAGTTGCAGTGAGCTGAGATCATACCATTTAACTCCAGCCTGGGTGACAGAGCAAGACTCTGTCTCAAAAAAAAAAAAAAAAGAAAGAAAGAAACTCTGTGATAGATATTTGTTTAGTAAATCCCTTCAGTGTTTATCCCTCCTCTCCATATAGGAGCTTTCTTTCCTGTCAGCTAGAAAGGAGCAGGATATAATAACTAAGATACCATTTTTGATTAGGCCACACCAACTCAGTCACGTTCCATTTCCCTTAAACATTTAAATTCCCAGGCAGGTACCCTCTGTGTACTCAGAAATTTAAGGTCTGAGAAGAAGTTACCGTTTTCCAAAATGCACACTGCTGGTTATTGATTTGTTCTTTACAGCTATTCTTCTCATATTCTGTTTCTCATCTAAATAAATCTCTACGAGAGCTGCTTGACTTGCCATTTATTTCCTGGACACTCTCACGTTCTTGTTCACCCCATGCAGGTACCCCACCAAAGTGCCTATCTTCCTTCTAATAATCTTTAATTACAAAAGTAATAAACATCCACTACTGGAAAAAGAAAAGCTAGCCGAGCATGATGGCAGGTACCTGTAATCCCAGCTACTCGGGAGGCCGAGGCAGAGAATTGCTTGAACCCGGGAGGCAGAGGTTGCAGTGAGCTGAGATCGCGCCACTGCACTCCAGCCTGGGCAACAGAGTGAGACTCCATCTCAAAAAAAAGAAAAAAAGCACATATTTTTCATAGGATATATATGAGAATCTAAACCACTGTGAAAATAATAGAAAGCAAGTAGCTCCCCTGTTCTGTTTTTGATTGCAGCCTTTTATCTCTTGCTAATTATAGCAGTATTTACTGAGCACCTGCCATGTGTCTGTCACTGTTCTACGTATTTTACATGGAATACACAGATAAAGAATAGTACATTATATTACAATGATTACATTGACAATACAATATTTTGCTTGTTATGCTAAAAATAATTGGGTAGAGTGATGTACTGTGTCTTTGATTAAAATACGTACTTTTTTGCATTTAAAATTCATGTTTTCAATAAATAATAAATGCATATAGCTCAAAAATCAGTAAATATAAAAAGCTGTTCTGTGACAAATCTTTCCACCCTTTCATCAGCCACCCAGTTCCTATCACCTTGCCCAAAACAAGTAACCATTGTTACCAGCTTTCTTATATCTTTCCAGAAATTTTTTATGTATATACAAGTAGATCTGACTATGCCATTCTCTGTCCCCCTTTATACACAAATGAAAGCATACTATTTAACCTTTTTTTTTTTTTTTTTTTTGAGACGGAGTTTCGCTCTTGTTACCCAGGCTGGAGTGCAATGGCGCGATCTCGGCTCACCACAACCTCCGCCTCCTGGATTCAGGCAATTCTCCTGCCTCAGCCTCCTGAGTAGCTGGGATTACAGGCATGCGCCACCATGCCCAGCTAATTATTATTTTTTTTTTTTGTATTTTTAGTAGAGACGGGGTTTCACCATGTTGACCAGGATGGTCTCAATCTCTTGACCTCGTGATCCACCCGCCTCGGCCTCCCAAAGAGCTGGGATTACAGGTGTGAGCCACCGCGCCCGGCCACAATTTTTTACCTTTGTTCTTTTCATTTAACATTTTCTGTATTTTCTCGTATCAGTATATTCAGGAGCTTCGCTTTGGTTTTTACTTCTCTTCGTCGTACACATTGTATTTTTTTTAGCTTTATCTTAAGAGTTGCTTTTTTAAACAGCATTCCCTAAACTAAGGCTGTCTTTTCAAAAATGTACATACTATGATGACACTTTCTCAGGTTACAAACATTATTACTATAAACACAGGCAAGTTGGTGATACATTTTGACAAAATTTTTTTGTAAGTTTACAAATTAAATTACAAAATTAATTTTACACACAAAAACATATTGCTAACTGAGGGATATGGAAAAACTGGACAGTTCCTGCCTCTTGATTCTTACATAATCAGGGAAACAAGATGGATATATGTGAAATAATTGTGAATTCCAGGCAAGTATTAAAGTTGTTCAATAAACTGGGGAGAGCCATTAAATTCTTAAGAAAGAGTGATATGAAAGTGCTATGAAATACTGCTATATAGCAGTATTCACTACACATTAGAAAGGCAGAAGGAGCAGTCAGGTCAGTAAATACGGAGATGAGATGTTAGGAATATTAGTAGTAAAAATAAAGCAGAAACAAATTTAAGAAATAATGCAAAGAAAGAAGCATGCTTGTTTTTTACTCCATTTTAATTAATGTTTGTTTATTTATTTATTTTTGAGACGGAGTTTCACTCTTGTTACCCAGGCTGGAGTGCAATGGCGCGATCTTGGCTCACAGCAACCTCCGCCTCCTGGGTTCAGGCAATTCTCCGGCCTCAGCCTCCTGAGTAGCTGGGATTACAGGCACGCATCACCGTGCCCAGCTAATTTTTTGTATTTTTAGTAAAGACAGGGTTTCACCATGTTGACCAGGATGGTCTCAATCTCTTGGCCTCGTGATCCACCCACCTCGGCCTCCCAAAGTGCTAGGATTACAGGCTTGGGCCACCGCGCCCGGCCAATTAATGTTTTTTAATTAACATGCTTGTATTACATTAATAAAGTCAATTGAGTAGTGGCTTACACCTATAATCTCAGTACTTTCGGGGGGTCACGCTGGGCGTATCACTTGAGTTCAGGAGTTCAAGACCAACCTGACCAACATGGCTGAAACCCCATCTCTACTAAAATACAAAACTTAGCTGGGTGTGGTAGCACGAGCCTGTAGTCCCAGCTACTCCGGTGCCTGAGACAGGAGAATCACTTGCGAAGAGGCTACAGTGAGCCAAAATTGCACCACTGCACTCCAGCCTGGGCAACAATGAAACTTTCAGAAAATAAAGCCAATAGAGATGCCTGTTGATAGACACTTTTTTTTGTTTTGTTTTGTTTTGTTTTTTAGTGCTTGTTATAGCTATAGCCATATTGGAGACAGCATTGAAGCAGTTTGAAGTTGAATGAGAAAGTTAGCCTGGAATAAATTGTTTCAGGTGTTGGGGAAAAAGGTTCATCAGGAAAGGATTTGATGACAGAAGTTTAGAATTGTAAAGGACTTAGAAGGTGATTTAATGGCAGAATTGGGGCTGGAATTTAGGTTTTGTAACTTTCAGCCAAATATGTTTTTATCCCAAAACACACTATTTGTGGTTGGAGGAAAACCAGTTTTACACAGATACTGTTTGACAAGTCTGTGCCCTGTCTGTGAAGGACAAAGTGCCTGATCTGGTGCTTGAAGCAGTACTTAAACGTGTGTTTAGGAAGCTAAGAATGAAAATGATGAGGTGACTTACCTTATTTTTTTCATTTAAAATTATTACCTTGTATCACACTTAGCGTGTGTATATCTCATCATGCCTCCAGCTCACCCCCACTTAGCTACCTTACAGCTGAGGCTGGTCCTGATTTATCCCCCTGTACTTGATGTGCCCAGCACAAGACCTTAACAGTAGGTGGTCTCTAAGTGCCAAAACAGATTTGTATGTGAAACAGTTGGTACATTCTGACAAATCTGAATAGAACAATTCCAAAGGAGGAAACGGAAATCTAGAGTTACCTCTGTCTGAGCATCCCCTTGTTCACTCAGTTGGAGGTTGGGTTCTGGGTGGAGAAAAGGAGACAGGTCAGAGAAAGGAAGTCTATTACAACTACATTTGAATTGCCCTCCTGCTCAGTCCAAGGTCTCTTTCTAACATTGAGTTCTAAGTTCCTGGCCCTGTGTCCTTTAATCAAACAGTTCTAATAGAAAATAGGAAATGAGAGGTGCCACTAGATTGGGCAGACAAATATGCCTGATATTTACACTGGGAGAGCAGAGTGGCCAGCGAGTGCCTACTAAGTTTTAAGCCCTAGCCTAGGAACTGGGCTTTGCAGCAGTGAAGACAACAAACGAAAAATCTTTGCATTCATGGTGCTTAAATTCTGCCGAGTAGGGAGCGGAGAATAAACAAGTACAGTAGATAGTATGTCAGATAGTGTTCAATGTTAGCAAGAAAAGGAATGGGAATGGCCAAGGAAAGCGTTTCAGAGAAGATAACATTTGAGTGAAATAATGAAGTGAGGCCGGGCGCGGTGGCTCACGCCTGTAAATCCCAGCACTTTGCAAAGCTGAGGTGGGCGGATCGCATGAGGTCAGGAGTTCGAGACCAGCCTGGCCAATAAGCTTGCCCAACATAGTGAAACTCTTATCTCTACCAAAAATACAAAAATTTGCCGGACGTGGTGCCGCATGCCTGTAATCCCAGCTAATTGGGAGGCAAAGGCAGGAAAATAGCTTGAACCTGGGAGGCTGAGGCTACAATGAGCCGAGATGGCGACAGACCGAGATTCCATTTCAAAAAAATAAGTGAGAGAAAGTGGCATGTTACGTACCATAACTGTCTTCTCAATTATATATGTATAGATTGTAGGCAGTTTGTCCCGTCTGGCCTAGTCACACAGCTCAGGAAAAAATAATGAAAGAGCTTCGCCAGGTAATTTGGGACTCCGGGCCTCTAAAACCAGGCAGAAAATAACAGTATCTTATCCCTAATTCCATGGTTCTCAGGCGAAAGGGGGAAAATACCCAAAACACAGTAAGTGAAGCTTCCTGGCCCTTTAAAAATGGCGGTTCCGCACTGGCCAACAATACCATTGGTTGCTCGAGGCAGAAGAGGGCGGGAGCGAAGGGGTGGGGGGCGTGGCTGCGCCAAAGGGGTCCCGCCTCCTACGGCAAGTCGGAGGTAGCAAGATGGCGGCCGCTGAGGAAGACTGTGGTGTCGGGGCCGAAACGGACAGGGAATTGGAGGAGCTTCTGGAAAGTAAGAGCTCATAGTGGGAAGGACCCGAAGGGGGCAGGTGTGAGGACCCATTCAGAAGGTTAAGTTAACCTGAGATATTAGGGAAGGGGCAGGAGAGGCTCTCCAAAGGCTAGATGGGGGCGGAGAGTGACCGCGAGCCCCCCAAAAATCTCTGGGTCATCCTGCCCTACCTCCGCGACTGGAGCTGGGGAGCTCAACCAGGGGTCCCTCAGTGGTCTAGATTGTGGATCTTAACGGAGGATGGTGTTTCACGATACCTCTCCAAACTCCTCTTTCTTTAGGTTACTAAGTTTTTAAAGTCCAACTTCCCTCCCTTCAGCAGCGGCAGCAGCATTGGGTAGCGAACCACATATTCTCTGATTGCTTACATTAACTCCCAGCAAGCTTGTGGCCCGTCCTTCTGTGTCTCATCCTGTCTTCCTTAGCACCAAAGACACTTTTCTCCTCGTAGTCTTTTTTTCTCTCTCGCTAGGCCCCTTACAGTTACTTCATCTTGTCAGTAGCTCAAGCGGACTCCTTTCCCTTATTTTCAGAAACTGAGGATAAGGTGATTTCAGGGGAAAGCAGTTCACCCTCCTGAAAGACGGTGGTGGTTTTCTTAGCATTATTCTCCACTCCCCTGTTGGTTTCCTGCCCAGAGTGGGGCCAGTGCCCTCTCCCTAGGCCTGGCATGCAGAGTGGTGGTGAGGACACAGGCTTTTCAGGGCAGAGGTGAATTTGTAATCTCTAGTTCAGTCACAGAAATGTGGGCAGACAGAAAAATAAACTGAAACTCTGAGGAGTGCCAGATGACTGTGTGAATTAGTGTATGGTTATCTGCAGAGATCAGGCCAAAGGGAGCTCTAGGAGGTTGTGGGGGAGCACTCGACTGGAGAATAAGAGAAGAGAGTTTAATGCCTTCACATGGAGTGCAGTATGTAGTCCCTCAGTCTGTGCTGATACCAGTACCAACAGGAAGCTGGGTGGGATCTTGTGCTTTCTCACCAAGTTATTCCTTTTAGAGCTCCAGACTGAGTTCAGAGGGATGAGGACATATGTGTTCTCTACTCCTGCTGGGTATTCGTATGGGATTTTTAGGGATTCATTAGGGTGTGGCAAGGGAGACACTATAAATGGAGATGTGTCTGCAGAACTTTTTAATCCTCTCCCAACTCTGAGATGGACACTTGTTTGCCTTAAGGGATTTCTTTGCCTTTGCTCACAGTAAATTACATAATCCAGAGGGAAGTAGGTGACTCGTTGGGGTGGTTCGGGGAGGTGGGGGAATTTGAAAAATCATATTCCTAATGCTTTGTCCAGAAACCACCCACCTTTGCTTGCATCCTTATCTATCATCAACACACACACCATGTCTCTTGTCTCTGAAGGTGCTCTTGATGATTTCGATAAAGCCAAACCCTCCCCAGCACCCCCTTCTACCACCACAGCCCCTGATGCTTCGGGGCCCCAGAAGAGATCGCCAGGAGACACTGCCAAAGTATAAATTCTACCCCAATTAAGGGATGGGGAGGGGATGGGGATGCAGCTCTGAGCAGATGTTGGGCAGGCCCCTATGGGCCAGAGGGGAATGGGGGAGGGTAAGTTGGCCTCACATTGGTGAGTGCTGTTGCCAGCCTCAGCCCTTGTGAAATAAGGACTTGAAGTTGAGCAGAGGACTCTCAAGAGACTTCCTTGAAAAAAGAGGAGGTTTAAATGGTTGGATTAGTATGCCATCTCATACCTTCCTTCAATGGCTAGATGCCTTTTTTGCTGTCCTCATTAGGAGCAGTAGTTAGGAATGTCCAGTGGAAGTGGGCAGGAGGGAGGTGCTACATTTCCCAGAGCCACTGCCTGTGGCTTCTGTCAGAGGCCAGATGCAGTGTAGTCCTAAGTAAGAGACACATTTCAGCCACCCTTCCCCTGCAGGATGCCCTCTTCGCTTCCCAAGAGAAGTTTTTCCAGGAACTATTCGACAGTGAACTGGCTTCCCAAGCCACTGCAGAGTTCGAGAAAGCAATGAAGGAGTTGGCTGAGGAAGAGCCCCATCTGGTGGAGCAGTTCCAAAAGCTCTCAGAGGCTGCAGGGAGAGTGGGTGAGGAGACCCCAGATAAACAGAAACATCTGAACAGACTCTTAAGTCTTTGTTGCTTGAAAACACCAGAAATCTTAGTAAAGTTGATAGCAATCATGACGTCACAATCATGGGATGAGGAAATGCAATGGGAGAAGGGATGGGAACCCCTCTTCATGAAGAGGTGTGAGATAGGTTGGAAAGTAATAGCAAAGATTATTCAAAACTGACCGTTTGAAAGGTCCCGGTGTTATGGTGGGTGCCATCATGGAGAATAAACTGAAACAGAGTTCGTGTATTAAATAGATGTATGAAAAGACTATGAAGATAACCATAGCATTTTCAAGATGTGGAGTGATCATGATTCACTAGTAAATGCTTCATATCCAAGCAGTTAACCAGTTCAGTCTAGGCAAGAAAACAATTAAACTCCTAAATGACCTTGGCTTTTTTTTTTAATCTTTCCTAGGCAGTGATATGACCTCCCAGCAAGAATTTACTTCTTGCCTAAAGGAGACACTAAGTGGATTAGCCAAAAATGCTACTGACCTTCAGGTGAGGAGAAAGTAGTAGGGCCCACAAGGGGTCCACTCCCAGATACCTCTCCAGCAGAGTCTCAAAAGACAGGTGCTTTGAGTATCATCCCAAATCTGTTCCTGTCTAATTGTTTTGTTACAGGCAAGTTTAGATAGTTTATCTTTCCCACCTGACAGAGTGGTGAGCATCCCAAGAAGGTACTGTACTTGCTCACCTCTTACTTGTCTTATCTAGAACTCAGGCATGTCAGAAGAAGAGCTGACCAAGGCCATGGAGGGGCTGGGCATGGACGAAGGGGATGCGGAAGGGAACATCCTCCCCATCATGCAGAGTATTATGCAGAACCTACTCTCCAAGGATGTGTTGTACCCATCACTGAAGGAGATCACAGAAAAGGTTTGTGAACTTCCATTTCTGCTTTTTCTCTTCATTCTCCATCACATCAACTCCTGTGGGCTACTTTTGTCTACAAAGAGCCTGCAGAAAGAGTAACTTGAGTGCAGTTTTTTTTCTTCTTTATTTATTTGAGGTGGGGAGAATTGCAGAGTGGGGAAGAGTTGTGTCTCTGAGAGAATAAAGCTGTCACCTGGGTGGGTGGATCATGAGGTCAAGATATTGAGACCATCCTGGTCAACATGGTGAAACCCCGTCTCTACTGAAAATACAAAAATTAGCTGGGCATGGTGGCGCATGCCTGTAGTCCCAGCTACTCGGGAAGCTGAGGCAGGAGAATTGCTTGAACCCAGGAGGCAGAGGTTGTGGTGAGCTGAGATTGCGCCATTGCACTCCAGCCTGGGTAACAAGAGCGAAACTCTGTCTCAAAAAACACGGAGAATAAAACTGTTACACTGTATGTTGGGTATAAGGAGTATAATGTTTGGGGTATAAAAGGAAATTCTTCAGCTCTAGTTTTCTATAAACTGGTTCAAGACTGGGGTTGTTGTCTAATCAGTCTTGCATTTCTGACTTCATTTCTCCAGCAAGAATTCAGTCAGGCATGTTGGCTCATGCTTGTAATCCCAGCACTTTGGGAGGCCGAGGCGGGTGGATCACTTGAGTGAGGTCAGGAGTTTGAGACCAGCCTGGCCAACATGGTGAAATCCTGTCTCTACTAAAAATACCAAAATGAGCCGGGTGTAGTGGCTCACACCTGTGATTGCAGCTACTTGGGCGGCGGCAGGAGAATCACTTGAACCTGGGAGGCAGAGGTTGCAGTGAGCTGAGATTGTGCCACTATACTCCAGCCTGGGTGTCAGAGCAAGACTCTGTCTCAAAATGAAAAAGAATTAACTGAGGATTTACTTACTGGCTTTGTGATGTGAACAGTGTAAGAGTAGTTTAAATGATGGTCCCTGCCGTAAAAGAGCTTATAGTTTTGTGTGGTTGTATTGTTTTGTTTTGTTTCGTTCCAGCTGGAACACAGTGGCATGATCTTGGCTCACCACAGCTTCCCCATCCCAGGCTCAAGTGATCCTCCCACCTCAGCCTCCTGATTGTGGGACTACAGGTGTGCGACACTGTGCTTGGCCAATGTTTTAAATTTTTTTTGTAGAGATGAGCTCTCACTATATTGCTCAGGCTGGTATCAAACTCTTGAGCTCAAGTGATCCTCCCACCTCAGCCTCCCAAAGTGCTGGGATTACAGATGTATTTTACTGGAGAGACAAAATACAGGAATAGAAGCTTTTCAGTGACACAGGGAAATGTGGTTAAGTATGTAATGAATAGTACAGACCACAGGTCAGCAGACCAAGACCTGGGTGGGCCAAATCCAACTCACTTGCAGATAATGGTTTTTATATTTTTAAAACCATTTGAAAAAAACTACAAAGCAAATATGCAACAGCGAAGCATGTTGGCTCACTCCTATAGTCCCAGCACTTTGGAAGGCCAAGGTGGACAGATTGCTTGAGCCAGGAGTTCAAGGCCAGCTTGAGCAACATGATGAAACCCTATCTCTACAAAATACAAAAAAATTATCCAGGCATAGTGGTACACTCTTATAGACCCAGCTACTTGGGGAGGCTGAGGTGGGAGGATCACTTGAGCCCAGGGAGATAAAGGCTGCAGTGAGTGGTGTTCATGCCATCATACTCCAGCCTGGGTGACAGAGTAAAACTCTTT